ACCGCTAAAACAGAACAAACAAATCATCAATCAAGCATCGAATATTGTTGCCACCTTTTTTTCTGGTGTTCCTGCTATATATTTAGAGATTCTTGATGAAATCCAAAGAAGAATCTGCAAAGTTATTGGTCCTGACATGGTATCTCGGTTTTAGTCCTTTTCCCACCACCGTAACGTACCTACATGATGGCTTTTCTATAAATACTTTCATGGTAATTATTCTGATCAGCTTTCCTTTATGGTGGATGCGGGGCGCCTTTCATTTCGGGTGTGTTTTTCGTATTTGTTGTTGTGTCTGAATGAGTGTGTGTTTGTGTGAGTGCTTGGGATGAATGAATGTTTTATATTATTATAGCCCTGTATTGATTTTGTCCAGTTAACTGATGTTTCTGCCACATTTAAGGATTGTTTTATTACTAACATTATTTTGTTTAGTTTCTTGTGAATAGATTTGTTTTCATATTGTAAATCCTCATTGGGGCTAGTTTTGTTGTTTTATTCCCCTCCCCCCACAGACAATGAATTGTACATATGGGGACTAGTTAGGATTTTCATAGAGACAATGAGGTATTATGGTGGATGTAGTAAGAAAGGTAAGTAAAAATGCGTTGTTTTGGTGTTAGGAATATTGTGGTATGTTTGGGTCAGTGTTTACGGCTAGCTAAGTTTAACGTTAAGACAGAAGAAGACCGTCCTTTTCCCGATTTTTGGTCTTGTGACATATTTCTGTACATAACAGAATAAATATGACTTTCCTCTATGGTACTTAGACTTTATAAATTTAAGCGCAGTACTAGATTGGCGGCAAGGTCTCATCACTTTACATGCGAAATGGCTAGATGTAACCGTAAATTCTATGCTAACAGTTTCTTCTCTCGCACTGTGGAACTCTCTTCTGGCTTCCTGTCAACATTGACCTTCAAAAATTTAAAAGCAATGTCAATCGCTATCTTCTGTCTTCTTAATTTTTATTCTTTTATTGTCCTCTCTCCTTAATAGTAATTTTTCTCATATCCTCTAATACTGTGTAATCTCTTGCGTCCTAGTGGCTTTATTGCCTTGCTTAGGGTGAAATGATTATGAAAAAATTAAGCATCGTAAGAGAAGCACCTGGAATGGTAAAAGGACAATAGGTTCGTGTGTTCAGATATCATCGGACACCATTAAAGAAATGTTAGTTGCCGAGCATTTCATAAAAAGTCGATTAAAATAATATTTTGAGACGACTTTGAAAATGAGAAACATATTCGAATTTTCCCAAACTAAAGACGATCGCTCCGAATTTTTACAATCCAGAATTTTCGATAATTAACTTTACATAGCGCAATATCTATCAGAGATATGAAATTTAAATTTTTATTATTGCATTATTCCCAAATTTTAACACATCAGTAGATAGCTATTTATACCAACAACTGAGCACAAATAGTTATTAATTAAAAAAAATTAGTAATTAATGTATAATACTATCCATAACTATATGTACAAGAAAGTCGTTTTTTGATAAAAGTTAAAAAAAATAATCATAAATACGTAAAAAAATGCGTTTATTGTCGAAAATTCCTTTTTCCACAATATAACTATTTGTGCTATTACCTAAACAATAATAATACTGAATAGTTTTTTAAACATTAAAGTATATTTAATCAGATCTCCCTAATAGCTGTCGCGATCTGTTAATAAGCTTTATTTAAGGAACTAGATTTATCGTATAGATTGTTTTTATTTCTTTGGGGATCAAAGTTTATCTATTTCTGTTTTCTTCATTAAAATTTAAATTCTTTAAAACAAATTCCCTGTGTTTTAACTTAAAATTTAGGAAACGCATTTAGAGGTGAGGAGGTTATCACCATATATAAGATATATTTGTTTTATGTGTATATTGTGCTGTGATGATTAAAAGATAATGCACGAAGTGTTGAAAAATACAAAGTAAATCTTTTCAATATATTAATGATGCAGAAGGATAAGGTGTAAATTAAAGTTTCAAAGTTCATGTGTAAAAGTCCTTGGCCATAGGAGAGATAGAGAGAGAAAGAGTTCAGCGGAAGTAAATATATATATATATGTAAACGTATGTATGTGTGCATCCAAATGTAGTAGCCGCTACTTGACATGTGCTGAAGGAATGTATAATGTTTTCAATGTAGCAAGGAAGGATTAGGCGTGTAAGGTCGCCAGCTAGACGCGTAAATGTCGTATTTCGTCGATGGGTATGTTACGATGACCGTAGTATCGGAGAATGGACAAAATTAATTTCTCAACTTTGATTTTGATTGATTTTCCATCTCTTTATATACAGATCTATAGATTCGCTTTGAACAGGCTGCTCGCTTTTCATTGGCTGGCGGCCTTTTATCCTGGTAGTGAAAGCTTTCCGGTTTGTTTTATCTTGTTGTTCCTGATTTTCTTTAGGCTTTTTAGAGATGGTGGAATTTTGGTTTTCCTGTTATTATTTGTTTATTTCTTTTCTTACATCGTGGTTTTAAACACTTTCTGATTGATTGGTCGAACTATGGCTTTGTTCACCTGGCGATTTTTATTACCCGTCTATGTCAAAAAAATTTTATTTACTTATTATTTACTTATTTTTTATTTATTTCTCTATTACGATACCGCTATACAGAGAACAGGGAAAAGTATACGACATGAACTGTAGTAAGCAAGTGACTTTCGATGCTACCACTATTATTACAATAAACAGAAGGAAATTTGTCATGAACTCTTTAAGATCGTATTATTAAGAGTTTAAAGTTATCGGACAAAAAAAGTTCAAGCTTATGTAAGAGCTGGGGTATTTAATATTGACATTCGAGAATAGTAGATCGGCGTACTCATCAGCAGAGATTAAAAAACTTAGTAAATATTAGTAATTACTTTGTAAATAGGAATTTTAGTAAATATTAGTAGTTTACTAACTTAGTCAAAAGAAATTTCAGTAAATATTAACAGAATACTTAGTATATTAGTAGAATACTAGCTTAGTACATGGAAGTCTTAGTATATATTAGTAGAATACTAATTTAATGAGTTGAAGCCTTAATAAATATTTTTCGAATACGAATTTAGTAAATGGACACTTTTGTAAATATTAGTATAATATTAACTTAGTAAATAGATACCTTATTAAATATTAGTAGAAGACTAATTTAGTAAATTAAAACCTTAGTATAAACATTAGTATATATTAGTAAGATATTAAGAAACGGGGGTATTTTTAATGTTACAATTGTTATTAGAGTCAGTAGGGCGTAGTCCATGACATAACTTTTTATTATCGTTTCACCCCAAGCAAGGCAATAAGGCTACTATGATGCGAGGGTGGGGTACACGGAATGAAAGAGAATGAGAAGACTTTAGTCGGGAGGATTGAGGAAAGGACAAAAAGGAACAGGAGTTTAAAAAGACAGAAGATACCGATTGGCGTAGCATTTAAATTTTTTAAGATTGTAGTTATTCGGGAAGCAAGAAATCGGATGTGAGTTCTACAGGCGAGATGTGTGAGAAAAGAAACTGTTGGGGTATAAGTGTCGGTTATATCTAGTTAGTTCAACAGTAAGATGGTGGAACCTAGTTGCCAATCTAGTAACACGTTTAAACTCATATAGCCGGGGCACCAGAGAAAACAATCATCTGAACAGCTGACACGAAAATATTTTTAGAAAAGACAGAGGGAAGCCATGTCACATCGCCTCCCCTCACACAAAAAAAATAAGGAATACCAGTTTTAATTTAGTCGTAGTCTAATTTTTTTACCGTGCAAATATATGCAGTTTAATTTACGCTTCTTTTTCTATGTAGAAATTATATGTAGGATGTAGGCGATCAGGGCTCTCCACAACTTCCTGTTCATTGCAGCTCTTAATAAGCTTTGACTTTCTGTTATTTCTCTTAAACCCTGTTCTTCCATCCACTTTATCAAGCCAACTAAGTATGTTATGCTTTGTTTTCGCCTGTCCTTCTTGCCGTCTATCTGTCTCGTGAGTATCAGATTTTCTAAGCCCTCCTTCCTCATTATATGCCCCAGAAACCTCAACTGCCTCTTCCTGATGTTAAGTATTAGTTCACATTTTTGTTTACATTTTCTCCAAAACATCGTCGTTACTCGCATGTTCGGTTCACGAAAATTTAAAAAGAAACAATAAAAATACCAAAAGAACTGAGAAATGCGATAAAAAGTAAGAAAATGACAGAGAAATATATTTTTTGCTTTACTAATGTGTTAGGGGACATTACCCATAATAACATAATGGACTATTCCATACGTAATGAATACTGCGCCTCGAGGAAGCAGAGAGTTCAGTCCGAAGTCGAGCGACCGGCTGATCTGCTGATCGGTTGAACTCTCTGCCTTCGGGCGGGGAGGAACCCGAACGAGGCTACGCCGAAGGGCAGAGTCTCTTTCGGGGAGGTAAAACCGACCCTGAATCCGTGTATACGGGTTCAAAGGGCATATTTTTGGCCGAGTCCACGGGCTCGGAGATCCTACGTTAAACCGGCCTTGTGCCTCATGATGCCCTCGGGGGTGCGGGGTGAGTAAATACCGTTCAGTCTGAAGTTTGGAGTGAAGTCCGTCAGGAGTCTGTCAGTCAGTCAGTCAGAGCGAGCGAGTCAGTCAGTCGAGTCAGAGGCAGTCCGAAACAGAGTCGTGTTCAGACAATTACTACTGCACCTGATTGTTCGTACTAACACTTTCTACTTCTCTGTATATATTCCTGTTTGTAATATATCTGTGTTATTCCATATCCGTATTCGAGTTCTTCTTTATTGGTTCTACCTTGGACTATCATCGTGGTACAAGGAACCAGACCATAACATAATGTTTAATCAATACAAGGCTCAGGAGCCAAACAAGGTAGAAGGTTACTGTGTGGTGACGTATAATCGTAAGAAAGGACAAGTTTTTGTGCGGGATGGGTCTATGCAAGAAAGATAACGGTTAACTCTAGACTTAAAGAGGCCAAGATTTAATTCGTGAATAACATCTCCGAGTTCAGAGACGTTAGAAGTATAGAGTGGAGAGCCGACTTTAGAAGCAACCGAAACCCCAATCCTAAACAGGAAAGAAATGGCCAACCTCTACTCCGGTTCAAAAGACCAGGGAAGTGGGTGAACCGGGTAATAGGCGAACCTATCTGCTCTTATTAGAAAAGGAAAAAAATAATAAATGAATAACATTTTAAAGTTCATACAAAGTCGTCAGCTGTATAGAGTTGACGTAGACTTTAGAACTAAACGGAAATACAATCCTAAAAAGGGAAGAAGGGATAAACTGCTATTCCTGTTCAAAAGACCGGGTAGGAGGGTGAACTAGACAATAGACAGACATATATATGTCTATTAAAACGTTTGCAATAATAATAAGCCATGTTTCCATTTTAGTGGTTAAAGATTTTAGTTGTTTACCATGAAGTGTTTGTGGTGATAGATATTGCCACGATTTTAAAGTCCTGTGACACGAAGTATAATAAACGGTTAATTATGTTGGTGGGTCAGTGGAGTTGTCCTGACAAAGCTCGAAATTCGAAAAAAAAATTGCTATCAAATACTTTTTTTTTTTTCTAAAATGAGAATACGTGAGTAATGTGAGTCCTTGTAGGCGGAAAGTCACGCATCAGGACAAAATAAAAGGAATCTTTCAGTGAATCGTTGCCATTCATAAAAACGCACCAACGAAGCGTCTCCTCATGTTTCTCAGGCGGGTACAGAAATATTAATTCAGCTCTTTCTGCAGGTAAGACTTCTTCTTTTCAGCCATGCACGATGTTCATGAAAGAAAGAGAAGAGAATGTAATGAGAGTCACAAAAAGAGAGACAGTGAGAGAAGGGAAAGAGAGACGGTGAGAGAAGGGAAAGAGAGACGGTGAGAGAAGGGAAAGAGAAACGGTGAGAGAAGGGAAAGAGAGACGGTGAGAGAAGGGAAAGAGAATAAATTCTAGAAAGGAAGAAAATAGATAAGACATAAAAGAAAAACTGAAAATGAAAATAAAACAAAGTAATAAAAAGATTAATAAAAAAAATGAGAAACCAAAAAGTTGGCAAAAAAGAAAGAAAACGAAAAGAGAAAAAGCATACGGGGGGGATTAAATGATAAAAATTGTTAGAAGGAAGAACAGAATTGACAGAAAAGAAGGAAGGAAAGAAGAAAGTGATGTATAGGACGAAAGAAAAGGGAGGGAAAAAGGAAAGAAAGAAGAAAGTAAAGGAGTGAATAAAAGGAGATGAGGAAAGGAAAGAAAGAAAGAAGTGTAGTGAGGGAGGGAAGAGAAGGAAGGGAAGAAGGAAGGAAGAGAAGGAGTGGATAAGAGTGAAATGAAGGAAAGAAGGGGAGTGAGGAAAGTAAGAGAAAGGGGAAGAAGGAAATAAAGAAGGAAGTGAAGGAATGACTAAAAGAAGAGGGGGAAAGGACAAAAGGGGGAAAGAAGGAAGGTTGTGAGGGAGGGAAAAGAAAGAAGGAAGAATGAAAGGAAGGAAGGAAGAGAAGGAGTGGATAAGAGTGAAATGAAGGAAAGAAGGGGAGTGAGGAAAGTAAGAGAAGGAGGAAGAAGGAAAGAAAGAAGGAAGTGAAGGAGTGAATAAAAGAAGAGGGGGAAGGACAAAAGGGGGAAAGAATGAAGATTGTGAGGGAGGGAAAAGAAGGAAGGAAAGATGAAAGGAAGTGAAGGAGTGGATAAAAGAAGAGGAGGAAAGACGAAAGGAAGGAAAGAAGGAAATGTCGTTTGGGAGGGAAGACAAGGAATGGAAGAAGGAAGTGAACGAATGGATAAAAGAAGAAGAGGAAAGGACGAAAAGAAAGAAAGAAAGAAAGAAGGGAAGTGAGGAAAGAAGAGAAGGGAAGGAAGAAGGAAAGAGTTAAGGAAGTGAAGGAGTGGATACAAGAAGAAGGGTAAAGGACGAAAGGATGGAAAGAAGAAAGAGTCGTAAGGGAAGGGAGAGGAGAAAGGGAAGAAGTGAAGGAGTGGATAAAAAAGAAGAAAGGAAGAAATAAAGGAAAGAAAGAAAGGACATGGAAGAGGGAAGAAACGCGGGGGAGTAAGGAAATGAATAAAAGAAGAGCAGGAAAGGACAAAAGAAATGAAAGGAGAGAAGGAAAGCTGTGAGTAAGTTAGAGAAGTAAAGGAAGAAAGAAAGGAGGGAAAGAAGGAGAGAATGGAGGAGGAGGAGGAGGAGGAGAGGGAAGGGAAGAAAAGAGAGAAGCGAATCAGGTAAAGGAAGGGAGGCTTGATTAACTGATTTTTACGGCTTATCAACTCTTTGTGGATTATTTAAAGTCGAATTCCTATGCGTCCCCCATCCAAATACTGATCGGACTCGATGCTGCTTAACTTCGATGACAGAACGAGAATCGATATTTTTAACTGGACATGACGGAAGAAAGGAAGGGGGAAAAGGAGGGAGAGAGGGAGCGAGCGAGCGAACGCAGAAAATAAGTAACAGAGGGAAAAACAAAGAAAGAAGTAAAGAAAATAAAAAGGGAAAAAAAGAATGAGTAAACAGCATGAGGAAATTATAGAATTTACATCGTTCTGACGTTTCGGCCGTTGTTAAGGTGATATACGTTGGAATTTCGATCTGAACCCTTTTATTATTCCACGGGGGTGGGGGGGTAGATTATTCTAATTCCACGTGCCATGCCTTTTCTTGATATCTCAGCTTCAGTCAGTTCCTTTTTAGTGACTCAATACTCCAAGCTTTTTTCCCCTTTGATGTGGCCATTGATCTCATAAGTCTTTGAGTCACGGCATTTTTTTTGGGGGGGTGGGGGATTATTCAAACAATATTTTTTTTTCCGCTTGGCCATGTGTTCTTGGGAATATATCACCTGAAAAAAAGTCGGAGCGTACAACGGCCGAAACGCCGTGGATATGCAATAAAGACGAAGACAATAGTCCGAACGATGCAAATAACGTAAATAGGTATTAGGTTGGTGCAAAAAATAATAATGACGTAAGAATGTCGTTTTTTGACGTTAAAAAATACGTCAAAAACGACATTATTACGTCATTATTTTTGCACCAACCTAATACAATACCTCAACTCAGAAATATAAACAGATAAATGACAGAAGTAGAAATAAAAAGAGAGAAAAAAGAAAATTCAATTTCCGGGCTCATCTGCTGCTTTGTTTTTTAATCGGAATAACTTTATTGAATGAAAAATGAAAAATACATTGAGTCAATTGCTTCTTCCACCGCGAGGAAAGTTGGCTCTCTGTGCCGCGCTAGGAAATTTTTCTCACCGGAATCGATACTTCAAATATACAAATCAACCATTCGCCTTGCATGAGTATTGTTGCCATATATGGTCTGGGGCACCTTCTGTTTACCTCGGAGTTCTTGACAAGATCCAGAGACGGATATGTAATATACTTGGCCCTGATCTGGCGTCTCGTCTACAGTCACTCTCTCACAGACGCGCCGTCGCCTCTCTCTGTCTTTTCTATAAATGCTTTCATGGTAATTGCTCCGATGAGCTGCTTTCACTGGCTCCCAGACTCCATGAATTCAAGCGCCCTACGAGGCTGGCATCCCGCTCCCACCCTTACACTGTAGAAACTTTTAAATGTAACCGTCTCTTCTACTCCAATAGCTTCATATCCCGCGCCTCTCGCCTGTGGAACATCCTTCCCAATTACTGTTTCCCTGAGAGCTATAATCTCCAACTATTCAACTGTAATGTCAATCGACATCTCCAGTTACCTTGATCTATCCACTATCCCTCTCCTCATCCTTTCTTCTATCACTCCTATCTGCTCTCGCTCCAAATCTTCTGCAACCCCCTGCCTCCTCGTGGCTTCACGCCTTGCTCGGGGTGTAATGCTTAAAAAAAAAAAGAAGAATAATTTTATCTTAATCTAAAACTTATATGTACGTTTGTCGAGCATTAATCTTGCTAGAAAAGGGGAAATATTAAAAAAGCCAGGTCTAGTATTCACCGTGCGTGAGATGGATATTATGCCTGCCTCATAAATCCGCCTAAGATTTTTATAAACGTACATATATGTTTTAGATTAAAATAAAATTCTTTTCATTTTTCATTCAAAATACTGTATTTTAGGAATACGTTTTCACAACATCGCCCATGTGACGCCGACGTGATCATATTGAAACGAAACGCTGATCTTGAAAAATTTCAGTTGTCTGTTTTGATTAATCATACTCTTATGTCCATCGTCTTTTCATGTTGAATTAAATATGGTCTAATGTTAATTATGTTTTATGAATATGTCCTGAAGATGGTCTACTAGACCGAAACGTCCGACGTTGACATTATATTAACATTAAAACAGCATAATTGCATATTAGGATTTTTTGTTTGTTTTTTCCGTATATTTTTCTTCATATATATATATATATATATATATATATATATATATATATATATATATGAAAAAAAAATCTTAGTTTTTGAAGACACGTTACGTCTTCCGGTTTTATCAAGGCAAACGATGAAACCGTAATGTTTGTTGTTATAGTTACATTAAATCCAAATTTAATTTAAAATTTCGATTTAATTGTTTACCTTGATAAAATCAGAAGACAAAACGCGTCGGCAAAAACTAAGATTTTTTTCCAATTGTCACTATATATATATATATATATATATATATATATATGTGTGTGTGTGTGTGTGTGTGTGTGTGTGTGTGTGTGAAAAATATAGAGAAAATAGGAAAGAACTCATTAGGTAAATGATCCAAAGTTCTTTAGTATTTTTGTTATTATCTTTAAAAAATAGGGCTCGATACAAAAGTAGAGCCTAAATATAATTATTTATTTAAAAATATGATTCCATCGCTACATTAGAGTTCTCATGTTTCAAAACAAGAGCCGAAAACTTCAATATAATTATTTGAATTAAATTGAATTAAAGTACCAAGCTCTGTTCCATCTTCAATCGAATTTTTTTTTGGAATAACTAATTCCTGAAATTTACGCGTTTTATAAGCATATTCATTATTAAAATAAAAATTACTATGGTAACAACTAGAGCAATTATTTAATATATATATATATATATATATATATATATATATATATATATATATACTGGACTCTCCCTGTCGTTTTCGACGTATGAGGGTCAACCAGCTCAGTTCAGATTTTTCCAATTGCCACTATATATATATATATATATATATATATATGTGTGTGTGTGTTTTTGAAATAATAAAAAAATTGAGAAGAAATTAAAAATTAAAATTTTCAAACACACTGGGTTATATATTAATATTTTTTGTTTTATTATTTCATTTAGATTCATCGACTAGTTTCGATTTCTCGACTAGTATATATATATATATATATATATATATATATATATATATGCCACTTCAGCGTATCATCTCCATGCATGTTGTTTTCAGTCTTCAATATAATCTACATGCTGTGATCTACACTTTAAAAATTATAACGAAAACGTCATAAAATTTAAAACTATTTACGACCGGAAATCATTTACGTCTGTCAATCTTCAAGATGGAACCAATAGGCTGAGGATCGAATGATCGACATTTAATGTAGTGAATTTTCTCAGATCACATTCGACATGTATATCACAAGCTTTAGTAGATCTAGGTTGTTGTAGATCACACTCGGCACGTAGATCACACGCTGAAATGGCACCTCTATGAGTCTGTTCATTATAATTATATCTGTTCTTCACTATTTATCTATCAAGTCATTATCTCTCAATATCTCTGTTTATTATTTTCTCCCTCTCTCAACTGTTTATACATTATCTATCTATCTATCTATCTCAGTCTTATCATTATCTATCTATCTATCTATCTATCTATCTCAGTCTATCTATCTATCTATCTATCTCAGTCTTATCATCTATCTATCTATCTATCTATCTATCTATCTATCTATCTATCTATCTATCTATCTATCTCATTCATCATTACCTATCTATCTATCGTACATTTCAAGTTATCTTATCTATCTATCTAAATTATCTATCTCATTTACGTCAGATCATCAAAATCTATAGATCTATCTATCTATCTATCTATCTATCTATCTATCCTATCTACCTACCCTACCTACGTACCATTTCAAGTTACAGATTAAGCTTCAAACAGCAGTAAATTCTGCTATACTGCTATTTACGAGAGCCAGATCAGACCAAAAGAAGATAGATCTATCTATCTATCTATCTAAATATCTATCTACCTACCTACCTACGTACCATTTCAAGTTACAGATTCAGCTATACTCTAACAGCAGATAACCAAAAGAAGATTCTATCTATACTATCTATTTATCTAGACCTACCTACCAGATTAGACCAAAAGAAGATAGATCAGACCAAAAGATATCTATCTATCTATCTATCTATCTATCTATCTATCTATCTATCTATACCTACCCTACCATTTCATTACAGATTAAGCTAAATTCTGCTATACTGCTATTTACGAGAGCCAGATCAGACCAAAAGAAGATAGATCTATCTATCTATCTATCTATCTATCTATCTATCTATCTATCTAACGTACCATTTCAAGTTACAGATTAAGCTTCAAACAGCAGTAAATTCTGCTATACTGCTATTTACGAGCCAGATCAGACCAAAAGAAGATAGATCTATCTATCTATCTATCTATCTATCTATCTCCTATACCTACCTACCATTTTCAAGTTACAGATTAAGCTTCAAACAGCAGTAAATTCTGCTATACTGCTATTTACGAGAGCCAGATCAGACCAAAAGACGATAGATCTATCTATCTATCTATCTATCTATCTATCTATCTATCTATCTATCTATCTACCTACCATTTCAAGTTACAGATTAAACTGAAACAGCAGTAAATTCTGCTATACTGCTATTTACGAGAGCCAGATCAGACCAAAAGAAGATAGATCTATCTATCTATCTATCTATCTATCTATCTATCTATCTATCCTACCTACCTACCTACCCATTTCAAGTTACAGATTAAGCTTCAAACAGCAGTAAATTCTGCTATACTGCTATTTACGAGAGCCAGATCAGACCAAAAGAAGATAGATCTATCTATCTATCTATCTATCTATCTATCTATCTATCTACCTACCTACCTTTCTTACCATTTCAAGTTACAGATTAAGCTTCAAACAGCAGTAAATTCTGCTATACTGATATTTACGAGAGCCAGATCAGACCAAAAGAAGATAGATCTATCTATCTATCTATCTATCTATCTACCTACCTACCTACGTACCATTTCAAGTTACAGATTAAGCTTCAAACAGCAGTAAATTCTGCTATACTGCTATTTACGAGAGCCAGATCAGACCAAAAGAAGATAGATCTATCTATCTATCTATCTATCTATCTATCTATCTATCTATCTATCTATCTACCTACCTACCATTTCAAGTTACAGATTAAGCTTCAAACAGCAGTAAATTCTGCTATACTGCTATTTACGAGAGCCAGATCAGACCAAAAGAAGATAGATCTATCTATCTATCTATCTATCTATCTATCTATACAGATATCTATCTACC